TCAAATAATGGACTCAACTCCCTCCCCCTCTCACACTACACAGCCGGCTAACAGATGGTCGGTCGGTCCCTCCCTCCCCCCCCCACCCCCCACCAACCGTCCCAAGGAGATGTGTGGGATAACCTCAAACTAAAGTTAGGAAAATATAATTGACATTGCTGGATTCCTTGTAAGACCAGGAATATTTTGAATATAAATGTCATATATTTTGCACAAAAGATAACATAGTTACCTAGAGAAAAATTTTTATCTAAAAATTGTAAGTTTAAAGCAAAATATATGATGTTTATATTCAAAATGATCACCAAATTATAAGAATTCCAGCAATGTAAATTATATTCTGACCGGGTAATTTGTATGAATTTTATGAGCTAAAACAAATATCTTCAGTTAATAATAAAAAAAATAATCTTCACGACACTATCTGTCAATCAAAGTACCCCACCTTGCCTCCCCCCCTCTTCCAACCGCACGGTCAGTCCCAACCCTCCCCCCCACCCCCCACCAATCCTCCCTTCCAGAGTTTTTAACATTTAGTATTAAATAATACCTCAGATTAAAGTTAGGATAATATAATTGACATTGCTGGATTCCTTGTAAGACCAGGAATATTTTGAATATAAATGTCATATATTTTGCACAAAAGATACCATAGTTACCTAGAGAAAAAATTTTATCTAAAAATTGTAAGTTTAAAGCAAAATCTATGATGTTTATATTCAAAATGATCACCAAATTATAAGAATTCCAGCAATGTAAATTATATTCTGACCGGGTAATTTGTATGAATTTTATGAGCTAAAACAAATATCTTCAGTTAATAAAAAAAAATAATAATTCTTCACAGGGTAACAGATGGTCGGTCGGTCCCTCCCTCCCCCCCACCCCCCACCAACCGTCCCAAGGAGATGTGTGGGATAACCACTAAATTTTAATAAATAATACCTCAAACTAAAGTTAGGATAATATAATTGACATTGCTGGATTCCTTGTAAGACCAGGAATATTTTGAATATAAATGTCATATATTTTGCACAAAAGATACCATAGTTACCTAGAGAAAAATTTTTATCTAAAAATTGTAAGTTTAAAGCAAAATATATGATGTTTATATTCAAAATGATCACCAAATTATAAGAATTCCAGCAATGTAAATTATATTCTGGCCTGGTAATTTGTATGAATTTTATGAGCTAAAACAGGCAGTCAGGCAGGGTGGCGGGTGGGGCAAATCTAAAAATAGCGTCCGGACACTCACCGCGTATATGTGGAAAAAATCCGCGTTAAGTGAAAGTTCAGCTTTGGCAAGGCACCGCGTATATGCGAAAACGCGTTAAGTGAAACCGCGTTAGGCGGGGTAAAACTGTATGTATATATATATATATATATATATATATATATATATATATATATATATATATATATATATATATATATATATATATATATATATATATATATATATATATATATACACACTTTTCATAATTTTGTTATTGTTCCCTTACAAAAATATTTCTTCTCGGAGGCCTGGTTATGAGAATAGCAAAACTTTGTTTTGAGGACAACTATATTGACAAAAATATTGAAGTAGCCTGAAATATTAAATAAAAGAGGGTTCAGTGTATTTAGAATACTATTTGAGTAATTACAATGTCGCCACCCATTGATTCAGAGTCTTCTTTTTTTGAGACCCTTGTCCTCTAATGAGTCTCTCTTCCTCTTAAAATCTTCGTCACTCCTCTTTGCTGAAGACTCTCGAGTTTCCCTTCTGAGTGATTTTTGTGGTGTTTCTTGAGCTCGTGCCAACATTTGAGTGTTGAGAAACTCCTGCCAGTAAGGAATCTTATTTAATATCGTGATAAGTAATTGCATTTAGTAAAGGACATGGTAGATAATGTATTTACACTGACTTAATATACTGCCTCCCCCACAAAGTACAACTCCATCTTAGTCTAAATTTGCCAAAGTTTGTCATGCTGTGGGAGCTCAAATGAACCACTTTCAAATACTGTACCTGGGATGGGTATAAAGTTCCAATCTTGTAACCTCAAATGAGGAGGTTGAAATGGGTTAGTCGATAAATACACAAATTCACTTCACAGGTGATGGGCTGGTTCTTTACCAGAGTGAGGTATGAGTGAGCTCTACTCTCCATAATTCATTCACAACTTTTTCTACTTTCTTTAATTAGTCTTCTCATTAGTAAAGGTTTGGGGCACCCATTCTCATTAATTTCATCTCTTGCCCTTGAACAACCATGGACAGACACAATAAACAGTTTTCGGGTATTCCTGTTGGATCATCGTCACCTACAGGTCCAACCTCATAGCCTTCCGTGCCACCAAGAACAAAACAAAGCCTTGGACATTAATCACTACAGAAAGCTCAAGAATAAACATGAAAAAATTCATGATTGGACCATGGAATGTGTAGATATTATATGAGGCTGGTAAGTATGCAAATGTTCATAAAGAAATGAAAAGATTGCAGTGGGACATTTTGGGAATAAGTGAAGTAAAATGGACAGTTCAAATAGCATTAGTGGTGAAGAGTTTTACTTCATATATTCAGGTGGTGAAAAACATGAGAGTTGTTGGTTTTCTTGTAAACCAAAAGTGAGCAGTAGTGTAAAAGGATATTGGGTCGTGTCAGATCGAGTTGTGAAATTTTTGTTGGTCTAGTTTAAAGGTAAACCCATGGACTTGGTAATAATACAGGATTATGCATCAACAAAGGAAAGTGAGGATGAAGTTTTAGAAAATTTTTATGAAGATTTAAAGAAAACAAAAGACACTGAATTTTAATGAATGTCTGATTACAATGGGTGATTTTAACACAAAAGTTGGGAAAGGAATTGAAGCGCCAGAGGTAGGACCACCTGGGTTGGGTAATAGAAATGAGAGAGGAGAAATATTAATTGACTTTTGTAAGGAAAACAAGATGAGAATTGCAAATACATGGTTTAAATAAACAACATCCTGGGCATCTCTATACTGTACATGGATCTCACCCCGGACAAAGTAAATAACATTGTCAGGAAAAAAATAGATTAAATTTTAATTCAGAAAAGATTAAAAAATGATTAACCTGAACCAATACCTATCCAGGGGCAGATTGTGGGTCGGACCATGTCGCAGTATTGAGTTTAGTGAGGCTAAAACTTAAAAAATTAAAAAGAAAAAATGGTCAAAATCAAAAGTGACTTAGGGAAGCTCAAAACAGGGGCAGCATAAAATATAATAATGAAACCGAAAACAGATTTCATTATTGCTAGAGGAAGACCTTCATGAACAAGAACCAGGACAACAATATAATGATTACAAAGAAATAATGTTAGAGACAGGAGAAAACGTATAGGATGTTTGGGCCAAAGGGAGGCCACAGTGAGGGACTCTAACTATCTTCCTTTTTATATTTTGAAGGAACTATTATTTCATATCCTCTGCCATTTCTTTGGTACGGTTCCCTGATATACTTAGGCTGTACAGGTACATTCTTCTTGTCATTCACCCCATCACTTTTCCACTTCCCATCCATATTACAATACAGTATTTCACTGGTGAATCCATCCATTCCTGTTGCCTTACCATTCTTAAGTTTGCTTACAGCTTGTCTCATCACATTTACTGATTTTTCCTATGTTATTTTAAAATAATTCAATATACTGTACCATGTTAACTTAAGTGATTCTTTTACACTGTCTGAATGATAAATAATATCAAAGTCACCTTTTTCATTAAGCTGACTCATCACTGTGACTATATTCACATTGGAATTCTTGCAAGTTATGAGGGATTTAAGGAGACAGCACCTTTAATTTCTATTACAATATTGGATACAGGAAATAGAGGTGAATCATAGTGTCATGCTGGGCTATACAGTATTTCTAAAAATTAATTATTGTATTATGGTAGCTTTGTAAACATGATCTTAATATTTTAAGACCTTAGTACTTTTACAATTACAGTAGAAGGAATAAAAACTTGAAAATCTCACCTCAATTGTTGAAACAGCATCCTGCATCATCTGGTCAGCCATATGATACACATTGTGGTCACTAGTGTTATACATCTTGGCATTTAGGAACATGAGCATAATGTCACGTTGAAATTCCGCTGTAGTGCGTATTAATCCATTTTCCATATTGCGTTTCACTTTCTGAAGATCCATAGATCTAAAATTTATAAAGAAAACATTTACAGTACACACCACAAATAACTCGCTACCAAACACTTTTTTGTATCTAAAAAGCTTCAGTAATCATCGCCAGTACGTTAATATATCCTACCTGTGAACAACAGAATGGTATCCTGGAGCCTGGTCATCGGTAATGGGTCGCAAAAATAAGGAAGCAAATTTGTGTGCTGCTATTTCATTCCATAAAATCATTATGGGCTTCTTCCAAGACCTATAGGCTCGCTCATTTTCAGAATCATCTCTGAAAGATAAACATATCTATATAATTCATACAATCCACAAAATATGAATCCTGACAAAAACCATCCCAAGGACTTTCAGAACTAAATGCTCGTCAGCCCATGATCCCTTTGACAGGTTTTATGCAATTTCACCATAATTCTTGTACTGTACTAATTAGGTTCATTTGTTGCAAGGTTAATAAAATATTATATTTTCTTAAAAAAAAAAAAAAAAAAAAAAAATCTTTTTACCAACCCTTTTGTGTATGCAATAATATTTTACTTTATTCAATCTTTACATAAGCATTTCTTCTCTACTATACCAAGCATATGTGGGGGTTGTGGAGAGGCTTACTGTGCACATCTACTGACCCTCTCCATGGAAAGATATTAATCAAGGATTACTCTATGAATTACAGGTATTAAAAATTTTATTATTAATTTTGTATCTGAGTGTACAATCAATCCTATTCAAGATCATCTGTACTGTATTTGAGGATAAGACTACCAGTAATGGCGTCTCAGTGGTACCTTGACCCTAACCTTTATATTACTCTTACAATATATATATATATATAATGTATCTATATATATATATATATATATATATATATATATATATATATATATATATATATATATATATATATATATATATATATATATATATATATATATATATATATATATATATATATATATATATGAAGACAAACCCATAGTGTGTGGAGGCCGGTGAATTGGGAGCAGACTCTGAGATAAGTGGAGACGAGGAGCCTACGAAATCTCCGCCAGAAATTTTCCGTTTCCTGTTACCTGTAAAGCTGCCTTCCTCCTCACTAACCCAGTCTCTGAAACAGTTTAGTGCTCAATATATTTTCCGGCTTAAAATATAAAAACATGTGATACACGAAAGAAAAAATCAAGCAAGTACCCGGTAATAGTGTTTATAAAGATATAATACAGTATCCTGTATTGTATGTTGGGTGTTTTATGAACACAAGGGCAGTACATGTAAATACTGTATATGTATTTAATTATTGTTTATTTTATTAACTGTATTACTCTAGTAATTTATGTAAAGCTCATCATGAAAATCAATTAATTACCATCCTTTTCTTAAGCCTCTGAGCTGGCAACCACAGCCCATTATTCCAATGTTTTGGGATGTCTCTACCAATTATCCTCCCAGATTTTGCATTTCTCTGGAGACTTAACTTTTAAGTTTATTAATCCATCCTTCTCTGACCACCTCTGGCTCTACTATCTTCAACTTTACTCTTTTTTTTTATCCCTACATCTCTAATTAAAAGGTCAAGTTGACTCATTTTCCTTATATTTCAATATTTTCCTTATTGCTCAAGTCAAAGTCAATAATTCATGTTTTTTATATCAGCATAACTGATCTTAAACATTTTCCTGTAGTTCCATATTTTGAAAAAACTTTAACCTCCTTTTGGTGTCTGTTGAAAACATCCATGCCTCTGATCCATACAACAGTACTGATCAGCATCCATTTCAGCAGCATCTTCTCAAACTAAATATGCAGAACCATTTTAACACATTTCTGAGATCATTATATGTTATTCTTGTTTTAATTTCTCCTGTACATCTAACAGCACAACTTACGTTACTTTTCAATGCACAAAATTTTCCACCAGTTTAAGTTTCTCGTTGCTTACTATAAATTTATTTTAGATTTATTTTGATTTGGACACAACCAACAGTTTTGCCTTAACAGCATTATCTTTAAATGCATAATCTTCTATTTCCGATGATTTAATGACCAGTTTTTGTTATGCTACCAATTCAGTGATTTGTTATAATTCACTATTGCAACCATCATCCTCAAAAAAAAAGAGAGACCGAGAAGCAGAGATCTCCATGTAAAGTAGGAGACTGGCAGGTGTATCATGACATTACTTTAACAGTGCACAGTCCATCTGTTGACTAAAAGTCTTCGTCAACTGGACAAGAAATACAGGAAAAACCTTATTTTTAGTTGGCTCATTTCCACAGAAAAGACAAAAACTCATCAGGAACAATGGGGGATTAAACAAGCCAGAAGATTCCATTCCCTGCCAAAGTGGTAAGTAAAAAAAAAAAAAAACCTTCCCAAACCTCCCATCAAAGTGTTTTGAATTCAAAGGTCAACCCCTCCATTACTGCCCCCACCACTCATTTTCTGTGTATATAAAGGCATATAATTTAATTCCTTTCTATGGGATAAACTTACTTGCTGTCCTGGTTTTCATTGTGGTCCTCTTCCTGTTCCCTCTTATGGCTTTTCTTGAATTTCTTTTCCACCTCAGTATCTTGTTCTGTGTCCTCACTCTTTTGCATTTTAATACAAGGCTCCTCTTCTAATGACTTTTTTTTCTTATCTAAATCTTCTTCATCTTCTGTCTTTTTCTTGCAACTCATCAAATTTTCTGTCATGTCATTTTGCTTTTCCTCTTCAGTTTTTTTGCAATCAAATTCAGATATTTTACAATCTTCTCCCTTCTCAGATACACACAAAGTGGGGTTCTCTTCTTTGAGTTCTTTATCATCACCTTTGAATGATGTAGATTCTTCAAAATGCTTAATGGAATCTTCTTCTTTACTTTCATTTTTTTCTGTATTAGTCTCCTCACATTTATGATATTTATCCTCTAACTTCTTTCCATCTTCACAACCAGCTGTCTTTTCGTTTATATTTTTTATATCTTTCTTAAAACTTGCAACATCCTTTTCCTCTGAAACCTGAAAATGCATATGAAATAGTTAGTTACCAGACTGAAAAATAAGCAATACATATTGAAGATCAATCAAACAATAAATACTTAAGTGTATGGACTGGCAGTTTAATGAACAGAGGCACACATGATACCATCCACGACTTAAGATGTACTGTGAAAGAGGTATTGCAGCAGGATCATTGGGTATAGGCCGACAACCTGTATTGTTAAGGGAAAAGTGTGATCCAGTTAGGGTCACTACTTGACCCTAATCTCTACCTCGGTCAAGTCATGAACATGTTACCTCACTCCTGAAGTTGTCCAACATATATGGTATAAATATGTTTGCATACGTAAGAAATTTTTAAAATTTTTTATTTCACAAAGTTCAACACATACAACTATTTGCTAAATAATGTAATGTTTTGAGTTGCGCATTTCATTCTGATTGGCTGAAATCAAAACAAACAACTATGGCCATGCATTCTTGTTGGATTAAATTTTTTTTATAAGCTATTACTATAGAACGTCGATTTAACGCAAATCGATTTAAAGCGACACCCACAATTAAGGACAACGCATCAATTTAAAGTGAATCTTTCCTATTTTACGCGAGTCAAATCTGGCACGTCATATGGAAATACACACTATTTTAAGTTTTGTGCCTAATGTTTCCCACCAGATGCCTCTCTGGACATGCTACAAGGCTTAGTGGTAGGGATGGAGTGAGGCAGAAGAGAAGCGGGTGGTGTGTGGGCCAGCAAGGCCACCCTCTCACATCACTACGAAAACAATGTTTTGTTTATGGGCTGAGGTGTATCTGCACAAACTCTCAGTCAGGGCAGGGGGATGGCCAGTGACGAGAGGCAGCAAACAGTACCGTCCAGCTCTCAACTCGACTGCACGGAGTGCTTGCTGCAAATATATTATGACGCCATATATTTTTCTCATATTTATTAGTTAATACATAAAAGTCTTTTTAGTATTTTGTTTCTCTCTCAAGTACCAAACTACATTATTCCATTTAAACAACACTTTGATTTAGTGCGAATTTGATTTAAGGCGACCTCTCTTGGAACATATCTCGCATTAAATTGACGTTCTACTGTATGTATTTTATTTTTTCAAACCTGACTCAGATTCATTTTCCTATCTGAAATATTTGAGAAATTGACTTAACTATTGACCTAAACTCACACATAATAAACTTATACAGATGCTGTATGATGTTTTTGTCTTGTGTTACCAAACAATATTTTATATAACAAACCAGTCTAATATTGTGACAATTTATTTGGAATAAAAATACCAAACTTTTTCAAATACAGGAAAGTATATACCGAACAAAGTTTGGTGTTGGACAAATTTTTCAGATTCGTTTTAGACTGAAAATCTACCTACACCGAACTGGCTGATCACCAATTATTTGGGTAAAGAGAGGTAATACCGCATATTGTACTATATTTGAATATCTGAGATATCTGAGGAGGTTTTCGGTATAGGGGTTGGTATACAGTACAGTAGAACGTGGATATAACACGAGATACGTTCCAAGAGAGGTCGCTTTAAACCGAATTCGCACTAAATCAGTGTTGGTTCAATGGAATAATTTAGTTTGGTACTTGAGAGAAACACAAAATACTAAAAAGACTGACAGTCTACCCAGATGCACCTCAGCCCATCTCCTAGAATAAACAAAACATTGTTTTTTGTAGTATTATGTTAAAACAAACACTCATAAATCAACACAGCTAAAATTATGAGAGATTAAATGGTCTGTTCACTAGCGATCAGCTGATGGGAAGATTGAGGGGGAGGAGGGAGGTGACATGTTTGACAGTTGATGCCAAGGTCTAGTGCTTATTTACTTATTTGTCCTTACGAGCGACTTTAAGTTTTTCTCTTATAAAATGTCACTAAACTGACCTGGGAGAATATAATTAACATTGCTGGAATTCTTATAAGACAGTGATTAGTTTGAATATACAGTATACTGTACATGCAAGAGACATACAAATTTTAGTTTAATTAGTAATTATATTACAAAGGGCTAAAATTTTTATCTCGTGCAAAATATATGACGTTTATATTCAAATTATTCGCTGTCTTGCAAGGATTCCAGCAATGCAAATTATATTCTGCTAACTTTAGTCTGTGATATTATATAAGATAAAAACTGTAAGCCTATAACTACCAAACTCTGGCTGGGAGGGAGGGAGGGATGGAGGGAGGAAGGGGAGGTGACATGTTTGACAGTTGGCACCAAAGGTCTAGTGAAGTATTTATTTGTTTATTTATGTCCTTTAGATTGAGTTTTTGTTTTTTGTTTATAAAATGTCACAGAAGTGACCGGGAGAATATAAGTTACATTGCTGGTATTCTTATAAGATAGTGATTAATTTGAATATAATCATGCTATAGTTTTCACTAGACAAAAATTTTAGTAATCATTTAGTGCATTATTTTGAGTTTTGAGTACATGTACAGTACAGCTTTGCCCTTAAGACAGTGTAGCGTGTCCAGAGAAACATTAGGTGCGAATTTTAAAATATGATGCGTCAGAATGACTCGCACAAATTAGGAAAGATTAGCTTCAATTAAAATAATGTCCTTAATTGTGGGAGTCGCTTTTAATCAATAATCTTAAATTGAATCTCTTTAAATCAACGTTCTACTGTATAGCGAATCCGTTGGGTATGGAGAGGAAATACTGTACTGGAATCTGAGGAGTGGTTCAGTAAACAGTCTCTCCTCGACTTACGACAACCAGGACATACGACAGCCATGGTTGTATAAAATATTTTTCATGTATTTTTGAATCCCGACATTTGGTCGTAATGTGAAGAAAGTGAACTTGATGACCCACCCAGCCCTGTCTCCTCCTCTGCTTCATCCAATTAATGTAGTCTACATGCATAATTAAAACATTATTGAGGCCCCGTGTGTATTCAGCTGACTACATTAAAGCTAAGTTCACAGTAACACTATATTCATTTTTCATAATTGATTACTTTTACTGTACTGTATTTCATTTTAGAATTTCTATGTATTTTCGCCTTTTCGACTTACGACCTGGTCGTCGGGATGGAACCCCGCCGTAGGTCGAGGAGAGACTGTACAGTATAACAGTTTGATATAGAGGAGAGATACTGTAACATAAATAATGCATGTAAATAGTGTACAGAAAAAACTGTTTTAAATACCTCAGCCCCACAAGATGGTTCCCTAATCTTTCTCCCTCTCCTTAATTATGTCTAACTTGGTCTGATGCTTTTGGATCATTGCTCCTAAGTATGGGTGTTCATAACTCTGGTACCTCTCAACTATACCAATATTATGATAATTGTTCCATACCTGTGAATTCTTTTCCTTAATTTTCAGTTCTTCAGGGGTCTCCTCCAATGCTTGCTTTTGTGTGTCTGTTTCCTCAGTACAGCCTGTAACTACTCCTTCCATGTCCTTAACATCATTTTTTGCTATATCCATCCTGTCAACCTCATCTGAGAGAGAGAGAAAGAGAGATGTTCTCCATAAGATCAAGTACAGTACAGTACAGTAAACTATTCAAACTAAAATACTGTATATGGAAACATATTAGGGAAATCTTACCTACAATTTACAGGTGTAACATTAATATTGCATAATCATCTCAGAATTATAATGAGAATCATGATGAATAAAGAATTACTTAATCATTTCATGCTCTTAAATCTAATTACCCACTTGTCTTTCATTTATTCTTCTAAATCTAAAATCTATTTTAATTAAAAAATTTTGTCTTGATAACTAGATCGTTTATGAACCACAATACAGTATTTTAAAAAAGTGAATGAGCAGGAAAGAGGTTAAAAAAAAACACAAATGGAAGAATACAGTAAAAGATAACTCACCAGCATCCTTCTCCCTCTCCAATGTTTTGTCTGATTCTTTTGTTACGGTTTTGTCAACTGAAGTTTCTGGTTCCTTACACCCTTTTGTCTGAGTATTACCTTCTGAATCTTTATCAAATTTCTTTGAAAGGTTTACCCTTTTTTCCTGAAATGTCAGAAACAATAGTATTGTACGTATATAACTTCTGGATAAAATTACTGGTGTTAGTGATAGAGTGGATACATTAGAATGGCCCCCAGCCCACCAGGAAACATCCATTAAATACAATGGACTAGAAAACAGTTATGTGGAGTGGGATCACACAATACTGGGTGAGACAGTGCCAGGGCCATTCCTATGGGAGTGCGGGGCCCAGGGTAATTCAGTCACTGCGGGGCCCCTTTGCATTCTTAAAAAAAAAAAAAAATAAATATATGTATATATATATATACTGTATATACAGTAGTACCCCGATTTACGTGGTCAATTGAACCCACAGGGTACCGCGGAAAGTGAAATCCGCGTAAATGGAACAACAGAACATATGGGATTAATTCCAATAGAGACTGGCCCGACCCCCAAACTCCACTTTTTCCGACACAATACCTATGTTGTAGTAAAAATAACATCTAAATTTTATGATGGTATGCTCACACAATTAATATTTAAGAGAAATACAGTCGCCAGGTTTATGTCGATTCAAATACAGTTTTACCCCGCTTAACGCGCTTTCACTTAACGCGTTTTCGCATATACGCGGTGCCTTGCCAAAGCTGAACTTTCACTTAACGCGGGTTTTTTCCACATATACGCGGTGAGTGTCCGAGACGCTATTTTTAGATTTGCCCCACCCGCCACCCTGCCTGACTGCCTGTTTTAGCTCATAAAATTCATACAAATTACCAGGCCAGAATATAATTTACATTGCTGGAATTCTTATAATTTGGTGATCATTTTGAATATAAACATCATATATTTTGCTTTAAACTTACAATTTTTAGATAAAAATTTTTCTCTAGGTAACTATGGTATCTTTTGTCCAAAATATATGACATTTATATTCAAAATATTCCTGGTCTTACAAGGAATCCAGCAATGTCAATTATATTATCCTAACTTTAGTTTGAGGTATTATTTATTAAAATTTAGTGGTTATCCCACACATCTCCTTGGGACGGTTGGTGGGGGGTGGGGGGGAGGGAGGGACCAACCGACCATCTGTTACCCTGTGAAGAATTATTATTTTTTTTTATTAACTGAAGATATTTGTTTTAGCTCATAAAATTCATACAAATTACCCGGTCAGAATATAATTTACATTGCTGGAATTCTTATAATTTGGTGATCATTTTGAATATAAACATCATATATTTTGCTTTAAACTTACAATTTTTAGATAAAAATTTTTCTCTAGGTAACTATGGTATCTTTTGTCCAAAATATATGACATTTATATTCAAAATATTCCTGGTCTTACAAGGAATCCAGCAATGTCAATTATATTATCCTAACTTTAATCTGAGGTATTATTTAATACTAAATGTTAAAAACTCTGGAAGGGAGGATTGGTGGGGGGTGGGGGGGAGGGTTGGGACTGACCGCGCGGTTGGAAGAGGGGGGGAGGCAAGGTGGGGTACTTTGATTGACAGATAGTGTCGTGAAGATTATTTTTTTTTTTATTAACTGAAGATATTTGTTTTAGCTCATAAAATTCATACAAATTACCCGGTCAGAATATAATTTACATTGCTGGAATTCTTATAATTTGGTGATCATTTTGAATATAAACATCATATATTTTGCTTTAAACTTACAATTTTTAGATAAAATTTTTTCTCTAGGTAACTATGGTATCTTTTGTGCAAAATATATGACATTTATATTCAAAATATTCCTGGTCTTACAAGGAATCCAGCAATGTCAATTATATTATCCTAACTTTAATCTGAGGTATTATTTAATACTAAATGTTAAAAACCCTGGAAGGGAGGATTGGTGGGGGTGGGGGGGAGGGTTGGGACTGACCGCGGGGTTGGAAGAGGGGGGGAGGCAAGGTGGGGTACTTTGATTGACAGATAGTGTCGTGAAGATTATTTTTTTTTTTATTAACTGAAGATATTTGTTTTAGCTCATAAAATTCATACAAATTACCCGGTCAGAATATAATTTACATTGCTGGAATTCTTATAATTTGGTGATCATTTTGAATATAAACATCATATATTTTGCTTTAAACTTACAATTTTTAGATAAAATTTTTTCTCTAGGTAACTATGTTATCTTTTGTGCAAAATATATGACATTTATATTCAAAATATTCCTGGTCTTACAAGGAATCCAGCAATGTCAATTATATTTTCCTAACTTTAGTTTGAGGTTATCCCACACATCTCCTTGGGACGGTTGGTGGGGGGTGGGGGGCGGAGGGAGGGACCGACCGACCATCTGTTAGCCGGCTGTGTAGTGTGAGAGGGGAAGGGAGTTGAGTCCATTATTTGAATGGACATTAACTTGGCGACTGTATTTCTCTATTTCTCTTAAGTATTAATTGTGTGCATGTACCATCATAAAATTAAGATGTTATTTTTACTACAAATACAGGCATGTGCCTTCAAAAGTGGAGTTTGGGGTCGGGCCGGTTTCTATTGGAATTAATCCCATATGCCTGTTGTTCACTTAACGCTGACCCTTCTGGGTTCACTGACCGCTGCTAAGTGGGTACAACTGTATTAGACTTCAAACTTCTTCCCAGCTCACTGGCCCCTACCTCTCTGAGAAATGATTGGGTGAAACACTAGATTTTAACGTTTAGTAATAAATAATACCTCAGACTAAAGTTAGGATAATATAATTGACATTTCAGGTTTCCTTGCAGGTCAGGGAATATTTTGAATGTAAACTTCATATATTTTGCACAAAAGATAAAATACTTGCTTTGTGTAAACCAAATGATTACATTAGATCTAAATTTTGTATGTCTAATGCAAAATCCATGATGTTTATATTCAAAATGATCATCATATTGTAAGAATTCCAGCAATGTAAATTATATTCTGGTCCAGTAATTTGTATGAATTTTATGAGCTAAAACACATATCTTCAGTTAATAAAAAAAAAATATTCTTCACGACACTATCTGTCAATCAGAATACCCCAACTTGCCTCCCCCCCCTCTTCCAACCGCGCCAGATGGTCGGTCGGTCCCAACCCTCCCCCCCCACCCCCCACCTTCCCTCCCTACCAGAGAAATGGGTGAAAAAACTAATTTTAACTTTTAGTAACAAATAATACCTCAGACTAAAGTTAGTATAATATAATTGACATTGCTGGATTCCTTGTAAGACCAGGAACATTTTGAATATAAATGTCATATATTTTGCACAAAAGATAACATATTTACTCAGAGTAAACATTAGATCTAAAATTTGTATGTCTAATGCAAAATCTATGATGTTTAAATTCAAAATGATCATCAAATTGTAAGAATTCCAGCAATGTAAATTATATTTGGGCCGGATAATTTGTATGAATTTTATGAGCTAAAACAAAAAAAAATTATACTTCACATGTATATGGGTAGATGAACCGCTGAAAGTGAAAGTTCGGTTCTAAGGCACAGCTATATGAGAAATCGTAGTGAAAACCGTAAAGCAAGGTAATACTGTGTGTGTGTGTGTGTGTGTGTGTGTATATATATATATATATATATATATATATATATATATATATATATATATATATATATATATATATATATATATATATATATATATATATATCTACATTCGTGGTCAATTGAACCAGTGGAGGCCCACGAAAATGAGAAACGTAAATGAAATAACAGAACATATGGAATTAATTGAAATACAGTCATACGCGGTTAACGCCCCACCGAACAACGTCCAATCGCATATACGCCCTGCCCCCTCTACTACCCCAAAAACTTTAGTGACGCCTGCTGGACCACCACCCACCCACTCCCCGACTGAGAACATGATCCTCCCCCATACTGGTCAGATAATTATGTGTTAAAGGAATATACTTCCTTCCTCTTAGGCTAAGATTTGCCTACAGGTGAAATAAGTTAACCTACATCTATTGAGGGTAAAATCTTTTCACCCACAAATGACACACAACATACTTACAATTAGAACATATTTGTTGCTCAACAATTGGTAACCCCAGTTGCAATTGTTGAGGCATCAAATTCTGTGTCATTACTAAGAATAACAAAGTCTCTGGGTGCACTCTCTAACATTAAGAGAGAAAACGAGGACTCCAGGCGCCCTCATGCAGAAAACGGACTCGTATGATGGGGGATCAATAAAAAAGCATAGCTACATACCAGGACTACAGTATTAAGCGCACTTTCATCACTTTGTAATAAACCTAGCCATGCCTATGTGTGTTTATGATATTTACCATAACATTATATATATATTTAGTGGGTCTAAATGGTTGTAAAATGGGGAAACTTAAGGTTGGGTCTTTGGGTCGTTATCGCCACATCACGCACTCGGCGGGTCCCAATTAGGGCGCGATAACCATGGGATGACTGTAATTGTACTGTATATACTTTCAGACACTGGCCAGTTGCTTCTGGTGTTATGGCACAGGGCACCACGACAAAGAATTAGATCCGCTTCCTATCAAGGAATAAACAATTAAAATTTAAAATTCGAAAAAAAAATAAAAATCAAATAATGGGACATAGCTTAACCTAAATGGCCCTAGAGCAGGCACAGTCACGCATGCATCATGTATTCTTATAGATTGTGCGTACAGGCGACGTTATCTAGTGAATTTATCAATATTGTACAGTGCAACAATGGACCTAAGTGCAAAACCTGTATTGTACATGTACTAAATGATTACGGTACTAAAAATTGTTATGTCTAATGTAAATATAGCTTTGTTTATACAGGTATTCAAATAAATTACTATCTACAAGAACAATCCCTCCAATGTGTTATATTCACTCAGGTCGCTTAGTGGCAAATTATGAGAAGAGCTTATTATTCTAAGTAATGATAAATAAACACACAGGCAGGCCTTCAGCCGTTTCAACTGTCAAATCTATCTCAAATAAATAAATAAACAAACGTCAGACATCTCTGTCACCTCAATTCACCTTCGTTGTCTTCCCCCACCACCCTCGTTCCAAG